AGCATGGTAGGGGCAAATTGGTAACAATAATATAGTTGAAGTCTTTAGCTTAGATTAGATATAAATCAAATAAGTTTTGATTGGATTTTGAGTTATAGTGAGTTGATTTTAATTTAAATAAGGTTGATAGCGTGGATTGATCGAGATTTTGAGTTTTATTTAAGTAATGCTTAAAATATAATGATTAAATTTGATGTGATACAAAAATTTAAGAGATGTTATTTAATATGACATATAATTTAAAATCATGTGAGTAGACAGACGATAAATTAAATCTGATATGATGTATAAAAATGATTGATTAAATTATTTTAAATTTAATTAGTTAAATTAAATAGTGTAAAAATATTACACCACAAGTCAAAATCGATTTAATAGTCAATCACGCCCAGATTTTAATATTTTCAAGGTGCACCAATGGTGACGGTGAGGCGGCGCGCAGCTTAGTCCTTCACTACTTCTTCCAGCTCGCGTAAGTGGTAGTTCGGATCTAGCCGACCCGACTTGCGGCAGTTGTTTTCTGCAACATTATCCAAACGAAGAAGAAGAAGAAGATGATGATGAATTTTAGGGGATTGAGCGGTTTGGAGAAGGAGTGTATGCTGAAGCATCACGAGCACGAGACCAAGGACAATCAATGCAGTTCGTTCCTCATCAAGCACGTTAAAGCTCCTGTTCATCTCGTAATTTTTTCTAACCTGTTGTTGTTATTGTTGTTTTACTTTGCTTCATTGAGTTTCGATGGGTTGTTGGCGGACGAATTTTGATGATGATTTAGCAGATGTTGGTGAGGATATTTTGGAGTTGGACCTGAAAATTCTCGTTTTGTGTCGATTTGATTGTGGTAACGGGTTTTCAGTTCACTGTTTTATTTAGTTAAAATCATTTCGATCCTCTTGCTTGTTTTCAATCGTGTGGACGCGCTTGAAAATGTTCTCAATTTTGGGCTGGACTAAAATGTTACTGGTGGATGTGAGCTTTAGACGATGTATTGGTACTTGAAAGCATTTAAAGAAAAAATGCAGTTAATTAATGTTTTTTTGCAGTAGCAGATTGCTAACTTAATCATGTCGTATTCCGAGATTATCATCGTTTTCTGAGGATCTCGACACCGATTATGTGGTTTCAAATCTTTTTGATCCATATGCTGTGTTTGCTTTCTTTTTTTTTCCTGCTAGGTTTGGTCTCTGGTGAGGAGCTTCGATCAACCACAGAAATACAAGCCTTTTGTCAGCCGTTGTCACGTGCAGGGAAATCTTGAAATCGGCAGTCTAAGGGAAGTCGACGTGAAGTCGGGTCTTCCTGCTACTACCAGCACCGAGAGATTGGAGCTTCTCGATGATGATGAGCACGTGTTAAGTGTCAGGATTGTTGGTGGGGACCACAGGCTCAGGGTACGTCGAGAGAAAATGTTT